CCCCCCCCCCCCCAACCTATCCCACCGATGAAATTGTCAGGAAGAAACTATGATAAAACGCATGGGCCAAACTGGGCCCAAATGCTTTTGAAATAAAACAGTACGGTACTTGAACAAGTTAGAAAGGTATAGAGAGGCATTACTTTGTCTAGCCCCCCACCCCACCCCCACCCCACCCCCACCCTTCCCCCCCCATGCTCTTAAGACGGTCCGGCACTATAGAAGTTACCTCATGCATTGATCGATCAATCCAGATCATCAATATATAATAGGCTTTATATGTGATTAATAAGTTAAGTTGTAATTGATCATAACACATCTCTTAGTACAAAGCAATAAGTAATTATAGTGATAAATGTCAGGTTATTACGGGAAACTAATAATTCAGTAATTTATTGTACATTTATATAGATGTTGATTTATGAAACCTATTTATTTACATCAATTACAAAAGTTTCATGCTCCTGAAATTGGTAGTAGACTTATTTTCTACATATAAGTGGATTAGTAGGAGATTATTTCCACTTTTGTTTGATTAACACTCGCTAGGCACGAGCAGGGGATGATAAGTCATACGACGAGTTATCCCGCAATTTATGTAATCTCACTGCGAAAATATTGTTCTCTCATCTCGTATATATATATATATATATATATATATATATATATATATATATNATTTAATCGTTTGCTTTTAAATTATAAAGTTAATAAGAAATCTATTTTTGTGTTCTTTTTAAATCACGGAGACCCCCATCAAAGTATCACCCCCTTTTTATCGAGATAAATTTTAATTTACCGTTTTCATGTCCCTGAAATGTTAAGGAATAAATATACAGGGTGGGCCAATAAAAGTGAGAACATTTCGTAGCGTAATATTTTACGAGATATTCTCACTTTTATTGGCCCACCCTGTATATATAAATATTATAATACATATAAGTTGCTTCTGGTATGTCCTGCTTCCTTTTTCAGAATCGCCCTACCCACAACTTCACACGTTTTATATGAATAGTACTGGGTGAAAAAAAAGGCTGTCACGCAGCGAGCTTCATGGGTGGCGGACGACCTCAGGTAAATATTGTAATATTTTTTTTCTTTTGGGAGAGGGGACTTTTATAGGCCTATTAATCAATTAAGACCCACTGATCTAGTGAAGGACTGTTTGTAGGACTGTCTGTATGTCTATTGATTAGAAGCCGGCATCGATTCATCTATTATAGAAAATGAGACGTTAACTAGTTTGTCTGTGTAAAACTTGTACCTGGTTTAAGCTGTTTTGTGCATATTCTGTTTTGTTTAAATGGGTTTGAATATAAAAGGCATCTCAAGAATTTATCCAGGCCCGTTCTTAGGCATACGCTGACTACGCATCCGCGTAGGGCCCCGAACGTGAGGGGGCCCCCGTGAGGCGCCCTCGATCCCCAGGGTTTTATTTTTGACTGGCACTGAAGCCGTCTGTGTCACTCACGTTACCTTTCCTTATCCTGAAATTTATCATTCTGAGTTGAATTCAGAGGCAGGTGAAGGGAAGCAGCAGAGGGGGGGGAGCTTTGGGCAGTGGCGTAGCGAGGGTGTTTGGCGCCCGGGGACAAGATTCGCGCCCGGAGACAAGATCCATTTTTAGCGCCCCTTTTTATTTTTTTCAACTCTCAAACCCATTATTTTCATCAATAAAATAATACCAAAGCACATTTTGGCGCCCCTAACTAGCTGGCGCCTGGGGACATCTGTCCCCCCCCCCCTTGCCCCCACCACGCTACGCCTCTGGCTTTGGGGGTGGCAGACAGGAAATCGGGGGCGTGGCCGTGGGAATGGGAAAGAGGAAACATTGATGAAGGCAGAATGGAGGTGCCGCAGTGGTGGGTGGTGTTTTCTCCTCAGCTCGAGGGAGCTCCTACCCCTGAACCCCTCATCCGGGGCCCCCAAACTACGCTCCTTGCTTAGGGCCCCCAAACTCCCAAGAACAGCTCTGATTTAGCCATTTTCCAGTGTCTGATAATCAGATAGGCTACTTCAGAGGCGTAGCGAGGGGCAGATGTCCCCGGGCGCAAACTAGTTAGGGGCGCCAAAATGTGCGTTGATATTATATTATTGGTAAAATAATGGGTTTGAGAGTTGAAAAAAGAAAAGGGGGCGCTTTAAAATAGATCCTGTCCTAGGCGCGAATCTTGTCCCCGGGCGCCAACCACCCTCGCTACACCTCTGGGCTACTCAGCTTATAGACTCAGAACAGTTGTTAGCATTCAGACGAAAAAGGAGCCTGGTATAACTTAGAGCATATTATTATACCCTGCAAAGATTACGTGGAACCAAACTTCGGCTACGGCGTGTCACGGTGCGTTAGGAAAACAATAACCCTTTTCCCGTGCCCGCGTGCATGCTATATGGAAAAGGGTTATTTCATTATTTTGAGTATCATTATTTAAGTGGCATTTCAAATAAAGAATATGATAACTGTTGTTGAATATTAGTTGTCAGGATCACATATAGTTGTTGCTAATCTTTTATTTCACACGGCACGGAGAATTTATCATGAGCTATAAATAAGGGTTATCACCCTAAGCCTAGTGCTTTACCATGACTATATTTACATACACCGTCGGCCAGTTGATACCTAATACTAATACTAATACTAATTGGCTAATAGCAATAACTTAGATAACAGTTTAGTTTGTTAGAATTAAAAAGTGTTACTGTAAACTGTATCCAATTTGCATGCTAATTGGTGAGTTGAAATCCTTTTTTTTTTTTTTTTAAATGTTGAAATCCATCTTGACTATGACTATATTTAGTTTGTTAGAATTAAAAAGTGTTACTGTAAACTGTATCCAATTTGCATGCTAATTGGTGAGTTGAAATCCTTTTTTTTTTTTTTTAAATGTTGAAATCCATCATGACTATGACTATGATGGCATTGTCATTGTTAAATGATGGGCTACTAACTACTATGCCGATGCCATAGCCATAGACTATGGACTATGGTCCATGGTATTGGACTATTGGTATGTTAATCAGTTAATGTATTTGTATGGACATGGACCATACTATACTATGGCACTATGGTTAATGTTGCTAACTAGGCCTATAAATTGTTGATTACTAATCTATACTAATATTATAAAATCACTAATATTATAAATATGAAAATAATAAAATAGTAACATTAGTCAATAGTCATATGATTCATTAAGTAATAAGTCATTAAAAGAGTAGGCTGAGTGTAGAAACCAATATAATTATATAATCAATATAAATTATAAGACTATATACTATTATTAATTTAATTACTATACTATCTACCAGGGACGTGCTGGCCCACGACGACGCGACGAGCATTCATCATGGTCATGGTCATGGGTATTTTTGGGCAGTCATTACAATCTCCGAGGGGGGGCGGGGGGGGGAGGGGGGGCCTTTCTTACTACACTTCTACACCGTTCGTCACGGGTTTCCATATGCCAGCACGTCCCTGCTATCTACCTAATTATACAGTACAAAATTAAAATTGGCTACTGCTACACCAGTACTGTTCACTTCATTACTATAGACCAGAGGTTCCCAAAGTGGTCTATATGAACTATATCGACCCCAGGGGTCGATGAAAACTTGCAAGGGGCAGGGGTCCATGTCAGCCAAAAAAAAAAAATCAATATCAGATAAGCAGGGGGTCTACCCAAAACCGAAAAAACATGGCAAGTGGTCAACGAGACAAAAAAGTTTGGGGACCTCTGCTATAGACTATAGACTATTTATAGGTCTAAGAAATGAAAAGTAGCCTATTTTTAATAATAATTATTTTATTAAAATTAAGTTAGTAAATATACTACTTAAATACCAGAAGAGGCAATTTCAACCTGAAATTAATGCAATAATATAGGAATATAAGCATATTATATATATAAATATAATTTATTAAATTAAAGTAAGCCTATATAGATGAAATTTAATGACAAATATTTTATATTTTTCACAATATTTACAGACAAAAATAGTTCAAAAATATCTTTTTTTTAATGTGGATTTA